CGGTCGTGTGTGTGTGTGTGTGTGTGTGTGTGTGTGTGTGGTGTGTGTGTGTGTGTGTGTGTGTTGGGGGCAGGGACTGGAGGAGAAAGGCAGCAGGAAGCACAGTGACCCCGGCTGTGCTGTCCTGGGTGGACAGGCCACCACGCTCAGGAGCCACAGAAATGAGGTTTAACTGCCAGTTCTGCTCCAGGATTCTCAAGTGTGTGACCCGCAGAGATGAGGTCTGCCTGGCTGACTGGGGAGGGGTCTCCACCACCATGGAGCCCTTCGGCCAGGGGAGAGGAGTTTGGAATTGGGTGGGCTGCATTTTGATTGTCGCACGTCAGGGGAGGACTCTGGCCTTTGGGTCAAGGGTACTGAATATCTCGCACAGAGCAGGCTTGTCCGGTCCAATAGGCCGGAGAGGCTGAGGCCTAGAGCCCCCAGCCTTTAAGTGTCCTCACTGGATGCTCCGCCCTGGGCCCTGCCTTGGGAACTGCAAACCACGGCAGTGACAAGATGCTCATGCAGACCCAGTCTTCACTGAGCTCCCCGGCCTCCATTAGCTTCTCCAGGTCCAAGCACATACCTGGGGAGTCACACACGGGCAGAGCCAGGCTTGCGTCTCCTTTCACCCTTCCAGTCCCCATCTCTCCAGAGCCAGGAGGACATGAAGAGGGTGAGGGTTGGCCCCAAGGCAGGAGAGGGCTGGGTGGGGGGCAGGAAAACAGGGCTTTCCTTCAAAGGGGACGTCCCTCCCCTCTGTGCTGATAAGGCCCTTCCTGAAGGGAATCACCCCCAAAGTGATAAAGCCTCTCCAAAGGGGGGCGGGCCCCCAGTTCCTCTCCATCTTTGAAGCCGACCCCCCAGTGCTGCGAGGCCTTCGCAGGACGCCCCAGCCCCTCGGTGGGGAAGTCTTTGAAGTGTCTAGCGCAGCTGAGCTTCTGAGCGGCTGAACATCCCGCGTCAGACACTGGGGCGGGGGTGAGGGTGGGCTGGGGAGGGGGGACGGAAGGGGGAGGCCCTCAGGTAGGCGAGGGGAAGAGGCAAGACTGCCAGCTCCTGGTCTGAGCTTGAGCAGGAGCCAAAAATGAGTAAGGGGGCCAGAAAACCCTGCCGGGCTGAATGCCGCCACAGCTGATCCCCAAGACCCTGGGGAGCTCCCCTGCCTCTTCTGACCCTGTCCCTCCCTCCATCAGGGGCAGGGACTCACCCCACGGCCCCCTGTCCCCAACACAGAAGCCAGGCCTGGACTGGGCACTCCACATCCTCTCTCTTGTGAATGAGAAAACCGCTGAAGGGATCCGGCCCCTTCACCCCGAGGGTAGGCCAGCGGCCCCAGGCCTGTGGAGTCAGGACCCACATCCTGACAAGGTCCCCCAGTGATTCGGGGGCACGATCATGTTGGCAGAGCACTGTTCCCCTGGAATCAATAACCAGTAACTGCCTTGCCTCTCTTTGGAAAAAATACATAATCTCCCTTTGGAAAAAATATATGATCTCCCTCTGGAAAAAATATATAATCCCCCTCTGGAATAACACTGCAGTGGGGGAAGGGAGAGTCAAAGGTGGCCTTTACGGGCGCAGGACAAACACTGTCTGTTTTACAAAACGCCTCAATCCTCATAACTGCTGCTGAGAGTTGATATTATGGGTGTGGCCATTTTGGAGACAAGGAAATTCATCTGGGCTTGTGCAGGCGAAGGTTTACAGAGGCACGATGAGGCTAGAGGACTTCGTAAAGTGATGCAGGTGTAGGACTGTGCTCTGGCCTCCGCGAAGCTCAGCATGCCGCCTTCACACCTGCATGACTCTTTCACCCGCCCGACCCCGCGGAAGGACGCTGGACAGGCTGGGGAGTCGGGAATCCTGAAGTCGACCTCAGTTCTGTTCGGGCTTGGCTGTGTGACCTTGGTCAGGTTGCTCAACCTCTCTGGAGGGGGGTTGGACCACATGATCTCAAAGAATATGTTCTGCTCTGAAATGAAGACTTCACCAGAGAACATTCTCTTGGTATAGTTTAGAAGGCGACTCCACTTATGGCAACGCTTTGTACATCCACCCATAACAGGAAAATGGGGCACTTACTTTATGGCAATGGGGGACAGACTCAAGTTTCGAGCATCATTAACAGCGAGGTGACAGGCACTAAATGCTCAAAGCAAGGTCAGGAGGAAGCCTGTTCCTGGAGGAAAGACGGTTCTGCAGGTAACTACAGGCTTCAGTGCATGCCCTCTGGCAATTAACTACAAAATAAACATCCCAGGTGGGAGGGACGCCTCCCCTGGCTCACCTATCCTCTCCCTCCTGCCTCTGTGGCTTTTGTCTCTGTGTCCTGTTTTTAAGATGTAAATTAATAGACTTTATCCTTTAGAGCAGTTTTAGATTTACCAAAAAGAAAAAAAAAGAAGTGGAAACTACAAAGAATTCTCATATTACTCTCCCTCCCTGAGTAAGTCTCCCTTACTGTTAATACTTCACATGAGTGTGGTGCATTTGCTACACTTGACAAGCCAATACCAGTACGCTATAATTAACTAAAATCCAGAGCTTACATCAGAGTTCGCTCCGGGTGTTATGCATTGTCGAGGTGTGAACAAACCTGTAGTGACATGTGTCCACCATTATAGCATCAGACAGAAGAGTTCCACAGCCTTAAAAATCCGGGGTGCTCCACCTATTCATGCATCCCCCCCCACAATCCGTGGCGACCCCAGATCTTTCTAGTGTCTCCATACTTCCGCCTTTTCCAGAATGTCACAGAGTTGGAATCAAACAGTATGCAGCTTTTCTAGACCGGCTTCTTCCACTCAGCAATCGGCATTTACGTTTCCTCCACGCCTTTTCGGGGTTTGCTAAGATCCTTTGTTTTTAGCGCTGACCCTATGACTTGATGTGGGGCAGGAAATGCTGCAGTTTGGGCCAGGATCTTCACGGGAGGCTGGCAGCTCAGTTTCTGAAGGGCCGCCCACGGTCAGAGTCTGCCTATCCACCGAGTGTGCCAAGGAGTAAGGAACAGGGACAGAAGAAAGAGGGGCCAGGCTCTTGCTAAAGCCCATCCAGCATGGGTGGGCGTAGCCCCCTTTAGACGGGCTCTGGCCTCCTCAGATACGTGGCTCCCCTCCCTGCCAGTAACACAAGGCATCACCTGAGTAGGGGATGCTGGGTGGTGACAAGGTGACGCCTCGCCACTTTACTCCACAGCCTGCCCAACTCCCCCAGCCAGGCAAGGAAAGACAATTCTGGGAGGAAGCTGTCCAACCCCTAACCCACCCCAAACCCAGTAAGGAAAGCCATCTGGCTGTCTCCCGCCCCTTTCACTGGTAGAAGGTTTTTCCAGAGGAACCAGACAGCTTCCTGAAACCCCCAACAGACTCAGAGTCAGCCCGATCTCATCTGTCTACCTCCCTCCTGGGCCAGGACAAAAGTGTCACTCCGTGTCTGACACCGCAGCCTGAATTGCTCTCACCCCTGCCGTCCCCGTCAATTACTCCCGACCTTCTCGGCCTCATTCCTGGCTTTATTCTTTGCCTGGCGTTATTTATCACTGCAAAATGAACAGAGCAACAAGCTTTTCACTCATGGATACCGCTTCACCGGAAGAATTCATGCAAAGTTTTTGCAAAACTTGGCCACAATCGAAGTCTTGCCTCCTGAACCTTGGTGGGCTCAAGGAGGGCTGGGGTGCAAAGAATTTCTGCATGATCCACTGTGTTGGAGCTGGAGAGGAAACAGAAGGCAGGGACTCTCCCCCAAAGAAGAAAAAGCCCTTTAAACAGCATCAGATAGTCCCTCCATAACCGGTTTCATGGAGCTGTTTTTTAAAGTCTACATTTAACAATACTGAGTACCCTGGGCCTGTGTATCTCAGGCATAATGTCTGAAGCAAAAACCACAAAGATTTCTGTTGTTTCTTCTTGCGGACTTTTTTTTCCACAATATGAACTTTTTTTTTTAAGGCCCCCACTTTGCAGTGAACTCTCTTCCGTCTCTTTTCTTGCTGAAGCTGCAGATGTACATTATGGCGGTGTGAAAAAAGCTAATTAAACTGCAGAGGCTCGGCGGGAGGCAGGGAAGGCCCCGCCGAGCACACGGGATGATTGATTTGCACTGTCACACGGCTCTGCTGGGTGTCATAACTTAGTGACAAATCAAGGATTACAGTGGCCCAGAGTAACTCTCTCTCTTTGTTGTTCAGCAGACATCAAAGCAGCCAGGCATATTAGTGGTTTTCATAAGTAGCGAAGCCAGAAGTAGCTTACAGTTTAGAATTTGTGTACAACTGGGGGAGCGTAAGACAAAAACCATCCCAAAATGATTCGTTGGATAAAAAAAATTTTAAAAAGAAAACAAATGCAGAGCAAAGCAAACGAAATGAAATGGGGCCCGTATGGCAGGGAGCAAGTTCTTTGCAGGGGTTGTTGGAGATTTTGCGTTGTTTGTCTGAGCCACACAGAGGCCTGCTGGGGCGAAGCACACCGTCTGGAAATTAGGTTTTCTACGGGGGAAAAAAATGACTATAAATGCTACAGTTCTGGGGGGTTTCATAAGCAAAGAGCTCTATTTTAATCAGCACAGGAGGAGGCTGGGAGGGTCACGGGACGTGTTTGAAGATGAATATCCGATTCCTCAACAATTAGTATAAAGTGATTGGGGCAACTCACCTTATCTTGAATGTACACATATCCCTGAAGACAGCTGCGGTCGAAGCTGGTTTTTCTTAAGATATTTACCATCAGCAACAGAGCAGAGACCTGAAAACCAGAGCAAGGTGGGGAAGCTGCAGTTCGTTCCTGCTATAATGCTGTTTTCACTCTTGTAATGTGGATGGTTTCTCCAAGGGATAGGGCTGAGCCCCTGGAGGACACTGTTGGGGCCAGGGCCTCTCAGAAGACTGGATGGCCATCACGCTCTGTGAGGTGACAGTTCTCTCTTTTACTTTAAGCAAATGTAGCTCCCTGGACAGGGAGATGATCTGCCGTCATCACATGTGGACTCCAAAGGTGCATGGGTTTAGGTCAACGATGGGTGAGCCAGCCCACGTGGTATGTGAGGGGAGCGAAGGCATGGCTCTGCTATGTGACTCTGGGCAAGTCGGTTAGCCTCTCTGGACCTCAGTTTCTTCATCCTGCATAATTGGAAAGAATCCTTTCTTCCTCACTCAGAGGGTTGTGAAAAATCTATTCAGCAATACTAATGCAAATATTTCACTGATTCCCAAGCATTATGCACATCGATCAGAAAACGGAAGCAAGGGAAAGAAGCCGTCTCCCCACATGCACTGGGAAATCTACGTGGGTGAAGGAAAGCTGTCACGGGATCACCCCCGGGGCACCCCAGGACAGATGTGAATCTGCTGGAGCACTTCCATTGAAATTTACATGGGTCTATGTTGTGTATAAAACCCATTTGTAAACAATGGCCTTGATTTTCTTCTGCGTGTAAGTATGAATCTGGGGATTCCTATTTGCATCCTGGTGAGCAAAAAGAAAAATCAGAATCACAGTAGTAGAGTCTGTTTTTATTGCTATCAATAAAATGGTGAAGCTGGCGGGCTGCAGGTGAGAAGAGGGTGAGGGTGAGGGAGGTGGGATCCGCCCACAGGGAGCCCCAGCAGGTGGCTAACGGAGCATCAGCCGTGGCACCCACAGCTGGGTCTTAGTCTGTGGGTTCCAAAGCTGGGTTGCAGCAGTTTGCTCCGGGAAGATGAGGCTTTGAAGAACTGCTGGTCCCCCAGGCCCACTCATGCTGGCTGAGCAGCCACTCGGAAAATGACCTGTACGCCACTAGAAGTGATGGCTGGAGTCTTCCGAGCACGCGTTTGCTGGAATGGTGGGGCTGATCCCTGCAGGAGGAACACAAGCTTGCTCCTCTCACCTGCCGATGTCCCGATGGGTTGGGCCTCAGGGCCCGGAGTCCCAACACAAGCCCCCCCAGAGGGTCTCAGCGCCCCCGCTCCTTTTGAACTGGGAAGAACTTCACTCCCCCAGGAGGAACCAGGTAGAGGGGATTGTCCATCAGCCATGCCAGTTGGCCGAGTTCCTCTCTCAGCTAAATCAGGAAGCTCATAAAAAGACTTTATCTCTGGGTAACCTATGCCTCCCCAGTTTCCACCCGCCTGGCGCCTGGGAAAGGACAACAAAGGGGTGCGGAGAACAATGCCCGACTGTGAGGCTGAGCCTGCACCAGACACACGGGAACCCCAGCGTCTCAGTCCCTCCCTCCCTTGGCCCGGTGCCCAGGTGGCCGGGCTCCTCCTTGGTAGACCAGGTGGCCCTGGAGGCCATTCGTGCTGCCTGGTTTGCAGCCTTGCCCACATCCATTCTTAAATGTTCTAATCACCTAAACGGGCCTGATGGGTGGCCTGGTTTTCTCCTTTTACTTCATAGAACACTCCTGGCGCTCTGACTCTAGAATAACTATGCCATTTCACTTCTTACCCCTCTCTCCCCGGACTGGACTGAAGACAGTCCCAGTAATAGGTCCCATCCTGCCCCCCCGCCGCAGTCATTCTTCCCATGTCCCACCCCCCAACCCCAAGGCTGAATCCTCTCTCCACTGAGACCGCTGCCCTGGTTCCCATCTGCCCTCCTGAGCCTCATGGCTGCCTGTCAACGCCAGTATGCTGGGCCATCTCTGCCCTGAGAGGCGGTCCTGCCAGACCCTCCAGGCAGACGGAGCGTCTCAGTGAGTCCCTGAGGCAGCCCCCTGCCCCCCACCCCCCACCAACCCCTACTTCCAGGGCTCGCGCCACCGCTGAGTCACCTGACATCCTTTTCTTTACATTTTCCCATCTGCCGTTCCATGGGTGTTGGGCTGCCAAATTGAGAAGCACGTGGTTACGTATTTTTATTTCTCCTTTATGAAGAAGTTAACTGAGAGACAAGGGACTGTCTAAGGCCATTATTAGTTGCTGGCTGAGAGAGGACTCTAAACCCTGGACCCCTGTCCTAAGGCTGTTTCTGTTCTATTCCCATCTCAGAAACACTTTGCCAGGTTTTGGGTCCCCTTCCGTTTCACCATCTCCATCGCAGACTATTACAGCTGAAAAGGGTGTCAGGTGTATCCAGGGCCCATCCCCTCACGAGGAAAGTAAGCTCCGGAAAGGGCAGGGGCTTTTCCGGGTTGTACAGGAAGGATGGCTGAGTTTGGATGAGGTGGTTGGGCCCCAACTCGGAGTCACCCCCAGACCACTCCACCTGGTGCTAGAGATCCAAAGCCTTTTCTCTCTAATTTCTCTCCTTCCCTACCTCCCAGGTGATCAGGCAATCCCTGGCGTCCTGGTCCTCACGCCTTTCTGCCTGGCTCTTGTAGCTACCAGCAGCCCAGGAGGAGGGCGGGCCGCAGGAAGAGAGCTGGAGAACTCCTGTGCACAGACAGGATGCACGTGCAGAGAGAGTGAGGAGGGGGGGAGGCAAGAAAAGGGGCAAGAATCGCAGTCTCCAAGGACACGGGACTTCAGGAAAACCCCTGCCATCTGTGCTGACCACGGGTCAATCTGGGAGAAGTAACAGAGAGAAGAAAAAAAAAGCATTGGTTCTGTAACATCCCCACGCCTGAGAGTTGACTAAGCAGAATGCTGTCGCCTGGGTCTGATTACCACACAGTTTCATGGCAGCTCTGCGTGTCACCTGCGTGTACAGCCCTGGCTGCACGTCACACTTTATGAGGACAGTTATCTTATCTGCTCAGTCTCGGCAGTATGGCCAGAGCTTCAGGGTTAGAAGGAACTCGAAAAGATCCCTATTTAAAACAAAACTTAAATGTAGTTAACACTGATATTTGTTATATACGAAAGTGGCTAAGAGGGTAAATCCTAAGAGTTCTCATCACAAGAAAAAAAATACGTTTTTTCTTTTGTATCTCTATGGTGGTGGATGTTCACCAAACTTATCGTAATCATTTCGTGATGTGGGTAAGTCATCACGTTGTACACTGTCAGCTTCTACAGTGCTGGGTGTCAGTTCTATCTCAGTATAACTGGAAGAAACATGCCCACACCCACACCCACACCCACACACACACACACACACAACCATATGACACAAGCCATAGACTCAAAAAAAAAAAACCCTAAATTAAAAAAATTGTGTCTTGTGGGGAGGGCATAGCTCAGTGGTAGAGTGTGTGTGCTCAGCATGCATGAAGTCCTGGGTTCAATCCCCAGTACTTCCACTAAAAATATCAGTCAACCAATCTAATTACCTCCCCTCTAAAAAATTTTTTTTAAAAAATTGTGTCTTTAGTTGTGCCTGTGGTTCCCTTTGTGTCTGGTTTCGGATACTAAGTCACACCAAGTGGCCACCGGGGCTACTGAAGCCACTGAATTATCTAAGCTCTCAAGAAGCTGAAGTGAGGAACTTTAGTTCCGGAACAAGAGCCGAGAGTCACCCTAAACCAGGGCCCTGGGGACGGGAGCACCATTCAGCCAAGGCAGCAGGACTGCGGAGCTGGGTGCCTGGAGGAGGAGAGCTTCTGGCTTCTGGCCAGGAGGGTGTGGCTCTAGTGGACACGTGGGCCTGGGATTTCCCGACCTCCCTTTGATGGTGGGTGTGAAGTTGACATCTCCCAATCTCGAGCAGCTCTTCCCTAAAGCTACCCCAGTTATTGTACCACCAAGTAAACACACAGGCTTGTTTTGCAAACACAGCTTCAAAACATCCTCCAGCCTCTCCTTCCACCAGAAGGTGCTCCTAAGGTCCTCCGTTGTGGAAAATTGGGAGTCACCCATAAGCAGTGAAATCTATTTCCCTGTAGCGGAGTGAAGAATGTAACAATAAAATCTATGCATAAAAAAAAACTAAACTAAATAGAATGGAAACACCCAAATTATTTAAAACTTTGGTGGGACAAAGTCTAATTTTTTTCTCACCTGCTTTTCTCCAACTTCCAAATGTGCTCTTAACGCCTACAGTATGTAGTCATTTTATGCTAAAAAAAATATGAACTAAAATTTTTAGAGACATTACTGCCCTCAAAAGTGACCTAATCTGACTGTCCTCCACAAGGACCAAGTGGGTTATCTCCATGCAGACATAGTCCCTGGAAGGAAGTCCTTCTCCCGTGGAGTGTAGGTTCCTGTGCTAACCCCAAAAGACTTCCGTGAGCACCCCAGATCTGGGCTCCTCCAATGCTTCCTTAAAGAGCTCTGCATTAGATAAAAGAAACAAGCTAAAGGGAAACATAGAGACAGAATCATATGAAAAAGCCACATCCCATCATCCTCCAACTCAGCTAAATGGTGGGAAAATCGAGACTAGTCCAGGCATTCTGTATTTTATTCTGAAGTCTGAGCGAGTGCTTCTGAATCTTTTTGGGGCTCATTTATCTCCCCCTTTCTCCCATCAGATACAAAATATCTGCAGACAAAAAATAAATAACTTTTTAGATGGCTCATGTACGGTAGAGGGTCTTAACCTTCAATACCCTGCACAAGCTCTGATCTTCATGTCTTGAACACATTAAAAGCTTTAATGACCATGTGACCCAGTAATTCCACTCCTAGCTCTATACTTAAGAGAACTGAAAACAGATGTCCACACAAAAGTTGGTACACGAATGTTTATAGCACCATTATTCATAAGAATCCAAAGATGGAAATCACCTAGAAGTCAACCAGCTGATGAATGGATAAAGAAAGTGTGGTATATCCATATAATGGAATATTATTTAGCAATGAAAAAGAAAGGTGCCAAAGCATAATACAATATTTCAGTGAAACTTGAAAACATGATCCTGAGTGAAAGAAGGCAGACAAAAAAGATCACATGGTGTATTAGTTCATTTATGTGAAATGTTCCCAATGGGGAAATCTATGAAAAAGAGGAGATTAGCAGTTGCCAGGAACTGGGGTGTTGGGGAGCACAGGAGTGGTAGCTCAAGGCTAGGAGGTTTCTTTTTGAGATGATGAAGATATTCTCAAATTAACTGCAGTGATGGTTGCACAATTCTGTCAATATACTAAGCGGCATTGAACTGCAGACTCTAAATGAGACAACTGTACAGTATATGAGTTATATATCAATAAAGTATTTTTTGGAAAGGCTTTAGCTACTTTATTCATAAGTAAATCAGTAAATCTCTGTCTCTCTCTCTCTCACACACACACACACACACAGATCGTGGAGCAGCTCTGAGCTGGAGCCAGGGAGGAATTCAAGGCTGAGCCCAGCTGAGGCAGCCAGGTCTGCAAGCCACGTGGAAGGCAAACATCCGGGTCAGGAGTGCAGGAGTCACAGAGGCCTGCCAAGAAGTGGAGCAACTCGGGAGGACTCTGGGACAACCACTCAGTCAGGTGCAGGGGAAACGGGGTGCAGGTGGTGGTCATGGGGAGCAGGCTCTCAGGGGAAGCCAGAGGTTGCTCCAGGAGCTGGACTCTCTTCTCGGCAGAAAACAGCGCCACTCTGTCGAGCTGGCCTGGTCCGTCTTTCCCCCTGAATTTGCTGCACCCCGGGGCTGCCGGCTCTGAGGTCGTGTCCTGTGCCCTAGTCTTCGGGCGGCCCACTGGGCTTCCCTTCTCCCGGGGTTGTGGCCCCAGCAAGAAGGCGGGACCCTCCGATCACCTGGTTAGAGTGTGGTCAACAAGGACCTGCTTTTGGACTTTGAGCCCTGTGCTTTGGGACATTTTAGTCTTGAACTAAACTGTAAGCTGAACTGATTTGTACCAGAGGCTGATCTTGAGATTCTCTATTTTCCTTTAGAGAAAAGAGGGAACAGAAGCCCAGAGCGCATCCCTCCCACACACCAAACCCCGCCTGCAGGGCGGTTGCCGCGATGGGACAAAAAGGTCGAGGGTTAGAATAAAGGCAAAAACTGCTGACCATGTTCTTTTCGGATATTGACTCATCTGAGCCCGCTAGTCACCCCATGAGCCTCAGTTTGCGCATCTGTATGGTGGAAACTAGCCCCCAAATTACAGATTATTTGAAAAAGTTAAATGAGGTAATAAGGTATGTTTGAGTTTCCAAAACTCTTAAAGCATCAGCGATATTGGGTCTTATCACCATTCTTTTGTAAGATATTTTAGATACTGTAAGCATGCTCTCATTTGACCTTGGCTGGAAGGTACTGTTATCCCCATTTTAAAGATAAGAAAACTGAGGTCAAGTAACCTGCCCACAACCGTACAGTAAATTAATGGAC